TAGTCCTGAATACTACTACCATATATACTGAGCATGTTATCTACATGCTAATATTTTTAGTACTAAATTTTTGTGGCAGACATTCAGTGATTTCTTACTACTTTTAAGCTATACTTGAAGTAAGCTTCTTCAAATATAGCTTGATTTTCTTCATATATGGGTTTGTAAACATAGAAAATTATTACTCTGCTTGTGGGGTCCTCTTTTATAAAGCTAACTATGTTTTTAAAAGAATTGCAGATTTGTAAACCCGTAGTAGTGATCTTGTAGGTTTTTTTATGTACAGGTAAATTAGAAATGTCTTTAGACTTCATGACTTTAATTGCTATTATTTATTATGTGAGCTATTATTTTTGAGTCATGGTGATCAGTTCTTGCAATTTGAATTGTTTTTTATTTTCTTTACAGAAATGTTATTCTGTATAAATAAATTAAAATAAATTTGTGGTTTAAGGTTAGGATTTGATCTATTAGCTTTCTACATAATTAAATACCTAATAATATAACACTAGACAACTGTTGGGTCATCACTTCACAGATATTTTCTTTGTCAATGTCTTCAACCATACAGAGCTTCTAATGTATGGCCTTCACTGGAAAGACTCTTAAAAATTCAGGGAGATATTCTGAGATAAATTGAAGATAACCAATATTCAAGAGTATAATGCAGTCAAAGATCAGGAATTGACCACAGAAAATCTTTTATGGTATTTTATAATTTTATGTCATAAAATGATTTGTAAAATTTGCCAAATTTCAATTTCATGGGAGACATGGGTTCTGGTTTTGAATGCATGTTAGCCCATTTGAGGTAACTTGTTTCAAAAATTGTTGCCCTGTGATGCACTGTTTCACCCAGTTAATGGTTTAGACCCAGAAAAACATGAGAGCTATAGGATAACAGAAGAACAGAGATGGAAAGGACGTTGGAGGTCTTCTAGTCTAACCCCTGCTCAGGCCAAAAATGCTCTTTAACCCATATTTTTCTTTTATCAAGTATTAGGTTGTGGTCTACTTTATCAAATGCCTTACTGAAGTCCAAGTAAATTATATCCACAGCATATCTCTAGTCCACTATTTTGTCCATTGTCAAATAATGCAATAAGATTTTTCTGGAATGATCTGTTTTTGAAAAACCCATAATGGTGATGACTTCGTTTCCCTCTAGGTATTCAGAGATTCATTGCTTGATTATCTTTTCCAGAATATTCCCAGGTATTGATGTTAAGCTGATAGGGCTGTAGTTTCCTGGATTCATTTTTTTTTCCTTTTTTGAAGTTGGGAACTATATCAGCCTTTTCCAATCATCCTGATGCTCCAGGATCTTTGAAAGATATGATTCAGTGGTTCTGAGATCATATCTGCCAGTTCCTTTAGAATTCCTCGGTTGAGGTGATTTAAACTGGTCTACAGTAGATAGATGTTCTCTTATCATCTTGCCTTAATTTCGGTGGTGGGTTTCAAATTTGTTTACTACCGGTTCTGTGGGCGTGGCTTAGTGGGCGTGGCAGGGGAAAGATACTGTAAAATCTCCAGTCAGAGGTGGTATTTGCCGATTTTCCTAACTTCTCAAAATTTCCACTACTAGTTCTCCAGAACTGGTCAGAACCTGCTGAATACCACATGTGCTTAATTTGTATTCCTAATCTATCTTTTACTGTACTGTTTTGATAGGTAGAACTGTTTTTTCCTGTTGTGTAAAGAAGATTCAAAAAATGAGTTGAACAGTTCTGTTTTCTCCCTAATCACCTTTTTGCCATTTTATCCCATTAATGGGCCAAACATTTCAGTGCTTGACTTTATTTTTCCATGTTAAAAGAAGCTTTTTATATTATTTTTTATTTTGTCACATATAGAGGAAGAAGATTAGTTTGTTTGGAAATTTTGCACCGTATTCCAGTTCTTAAAGCAGAAGGAAGTAATGATGAATAAGATAATTCACAGGAATTAAATAGCAAGAGATAATATTTTCAGAGATTATTATTTTCAGAAAATATAGCTGTGGCATCAATATTATGTACTAAGTGTAGTAGGAAAAGTATTTTCACTACAAAAGAGTAAGCAGACACATAATAAAGGACTACACATAGAAGAGAATGCAGTGATGATAGTAGTCCCAAGTCCACTATGCAACAGCCTGATATGTTTCCTATTGTGTGCCTGCTTATCTCTTCAGTCTCACAGGTCTGTGAGAGTGAGAGTAATAAGTCCAGCACAGAATAAAATCCCTATAGGAAGCACTTGTTATTCCTCACCCATCTTGTAGAATGGAGTGATTAGAAAGAAAGGGATTACAAAAGAACAAGCAAACACTGAATTGAGAATACACAAGGCTGTTTGTATATGGCATTTGTGGCTCTCAGCCCTAAGTGAACATGTGATTATTGGCTTTGTCCTCTATATGCAAGTGATATAACTAAATTTTGCTTCAATACACAGTGTCACAATGCTTTCAGTGTGAAATTTTATCAATTGCTGTTGTACAGTAACACATGGTATGAGTAACAGAAATGATTTCCAGGCGTAGATACAAACATTGAAGGCAACAACTTTTTCTTGTGGAGTGAATTTATCAATTCTACCATTGAGAAACTGCTGGAGGATGAGTTTTTATTGATCAGAGGGCATTATTAAAAAACAATCTTATAAAGTGAACAAAAGGAAAATAAATTGCAGAGTTGTACTATTAAATGTACAGATATATTCAAATAATTCTCATTACTCAGTTGCAATTAATTTGTATTTGTTACAGTTAGGAAATAAATGTATGTTTATGCACATTCTACATGCATAAATTATGTTACGCAAGATTTGAAAATTCTATTTATTTGTTAGATGAACATGATGCCATATTAGATTTTCTAAAGATGAAGGTAGAAGAGGGTTTTACTAAGGGAAAATTAAAATATATGAGTTCAGTGCTAATGCACTGAATCAGTCCCATAGATGTTTGTACAAATATAAGTGGTAAGTCATACAGAAAATAAAATACATTTCGCTGTTATGAGATACACTAAAAAAATATTTAATTCTGGATGATCTTGTAAAAAAAATATACAAAATAAAATAATGATAAATTATTTATATTAGTGACTAGTGATTAGTGAAAGGTGTATCAGGATAAGAAAATATGAAATGTTAACCTTCAATTTGCTAGCTGTTAGTTGCAAGAGATAAAATTTGTTTTCCAATTTCATAGGCATAATGCCATTTTATACATATGTAAACTCCATTAGCCATTTTACCCAAATATTATATATTTTCCAAATTCTTCAAATCCCATTCAAATTTAATGGAGATTCAGGTCTAAACAGACTTTTCTACTTCCCATGAGTTCATTAAATCAAGAATTTGCCTAATGTGAATAATATTTTTGTTCCATTTTGTTATATAGTTACAAATTGGCAAAATTATCATTTAACTTTGACTTACAAATCAAAATAGGTGTGAAAGTCTATAAAAATGTATAATGATTATAAGAGTACATCGCCATCTTGTGGCCACTGCACTCTCTGCATTTTTAACCATAGAACAGATTTGATTTTATTGTACTGTACATTCCAGAGAAAGGATTAACTTGCTAATTAATAAACAGAGCTGAGGAAATGGGATGAGGTATGAAATGAAGATGCATTTGTTTTTATTTTAAGAGACAGTGGTAAAACGTTAACGCTGAATATATTTGGTGGAGATGAAGGAAGAAGTTTCTTTTTCCTATTTCCCTATTTTTCCTATTTCTTTTATGGGGCTCTGCATTTTCTATATAATGTTTTTTCTATATAATGTTCTATATAATGTTTTGGGAAGTTTTTTGTATATATTTTATCTGTTTAATATAATTCTTAATAAAAGTATTGGGTTAAAAACAAACAAAGAGCAAAGATATACTACATTGGTAATATAAATTCCTAGTGTAGTGACGCTATTGTTACTGTTTTAAAGTTTTAAAAAGTTGAATATTAATGAATGGTTATAAAATATTTTTCCTCCAAGCTTTAGCCTATAAGGCCATTTGAATTTTGAATTACCTTAATTTACCTTTTGCTATTGATAGTATCTCTATCTATAGTGAATATTAGTATAGAAAAGCTGTTTGTCTAACTGAAATTCTTTCCTTTCAGGCCTTTAAAACTGTGCTTAAAGATTCAGAGTCTGCTTCCAAATAAATAACTTTCATACATCTACAGTGACTAAAACTTTCCCTTTAGATTTACATTTCTGTAATTCGGGGTGGGTGGGGGCTGGGATGAAAATGCAGAACAGCAAACCATGTGATTCTAAACGTATTTGTATACAAAAAAAGTTACTTTGCTTTGTCACTCAACAACTTATTAAATAACTAGTAACTATTTGGATTGCTTGGTGGCAGAATGTCACTTGTTGTTCAATTCTGGCTATGCAAGGTATTTTTTAAGTAAAGATAGTCTTCAACTCCCAACCGTAATGGAGCCCACTCATGATAATCATAGACTGCATGGGTATAAACTGCGTCAACCACGTGACAAAAAAAAATTACCTTTTTGTGGTGGTTGTTAAGCAAATGCTGAGATCACGAACAATTGCTCTGGTCATTAAGCAAACAAATGTTTCACTATGGACCTATTTTGCCAAAAGTCAGAAGTAAATGCTGATTTTAGGTAAAATACAGTCACATGATTATGTGATGCTGCAAATGGCCAGAAATGTACGATAATTGTCAAGCACCAGAGTTGACTGGGGGGAGGAGAAAGAGGTTAACAACAATAGCTAATATATATGGACTTGTTTAGGAAAATTACTGATCTTGTCAAAAAATTTGCAGACAATTATATATAGAGTATTGATAGAAAATAAATAGAAGGCTTTCGAGGCCTTCAGAAGTTTCCAGATCAAGATCACCATTAGCAAAGAATGCATTTGGATCATAAATAAAGATGATCATATAGCTAAAGCAGGATAAGGTTACTTTTGAATTAGGTTTATATCTCTATTTTTAGTGCATTTTTTTCCCTGTTTTGTAGCCTTTCATGTCTCCTCGATATCCAGGAGGGCCAAGGCCACCTTTAAGGATACCCAATCAGGTAACCGTTTTTTAATCAGTGAAATACAGGAAACATTTACCTGGAAAAAGCAAACTTTTACCCATTTTTGAAAACAGCAAGTCTTAAAAACTGCATTTATGATGTGCATATTTGACATAATGTTTATTGAATGAGGGTATCATATCTAAAGATATTACAGCAGGTAAACAAAGTCTGTATATAAATTTCTATCTTTAAAATACCATACATTTAAATTTGGTTTTATGGGGAATTAATATACGAAATAGATTGGGATTAGTTGTAAAAGAAGGTAATTTTGGATTCCCATTCTTTTAGGATGACATTATAGGGTTTTTAAAAAATGAAAATAGATTGCGCTTTTTTAAAAAGTTGTTTAAGTATCATATTCAAATGGAAAATTTCTCTTTTTAATAGGCATTAGGAGGTGTCCCAGGAAGTCAGCCATTATTACCTAGTGGGATGGATCCAACACGGCAGCAAGGTAAATTATCAATAGAAATATTATCAGTAGAAATAACTGAATAAATAACTGATTTATCATCAAACTTCCATTTGTTAATACATTGGAACATCATCCAGAATATTGTAAGAAATACATTCATACTATTATTCTCATGATCTAAATATAAAAGGGAACAATTATTTCTGTTTAAGTATTTCATGTTTTATTTATTTAGCAAATTTATATAGCCACCTATCTCACTGACATGACTCTGGGTGGTGTCCAACTAACAAAACAATGTGCAACCATTAAAAACTTAAAACAATAAACATATAATAATAAATAAAAAGCAGGCTTGCAGGAGAATAACAACCATCTCAGCAAAATACAACCATGTTACAGCCTCCCATGAGATCTACAAAGTGGCAGGTCCTTCCAAAAGCTAACAGGAATGGAGCTGACTTCACCTCAGGAGGGAATGAAGAGCAGGAGCCACAATAGAAAAGACATACCATCTAGTTCCCATTAGACGGAACTCTTTAGCAGATGTTTGTTTTCCTGTCTTCACCGAATCATACAAGAACATAGATTTTCATGTTTCTAAAATGTTATTGATTGTGGGGCAGCAGGATTATCTTAAAAGTTCCTTGTAACCTAAAAATAATTTAAAATACATCCTGTTGCTGCACAGTATTTAGCACTTGTACAAGATGATATGATATTTACTTGTTCAAAATTCATATTGAACAACTCTTAAATTTATCTTCTGCAGCACTACTATATCTAAATGTGCTTTAAATGTTCTTTTAAACAAAAAGAAATGTTATCTGTCTGTCTGTCAGTCTCTTATCAATACAAATTGCAGGGATAAATTCTTTGCCTAAATATAGTTCTCCTAAATTTATTAAATTGGTAGTTTAATTAAAATAAAGTTTGTGGGGAGGGAATCCTATGTTTTTAAGCAAACCAAAATGAAAAGAATGGAAGACATTAACTTTGAAAAGGAATTATCTTTGAATCTAAATGGAAGAAAAATAACTTGACTGAGTTTGTATTTGACACAACCTTTTACAAAATATTTTAATCAAGGGGAAGACAAATTGCCACTCTGATTAAAATACATTTATAATATGAAACAATCTGATTAAACAATTAAAAATTGTATTTCTATTTTTTTTTTTCATGAATCTTTTAGGTCATCCAAATATGGGAGGACCAATGCAGAGAATGACTCCACCTAGGGGAATGGTCCCACTAGGCCCACAGGTATATTGCTTTAATTGTCTTTCATATGATCACATTTCTCATAATTTCCTATGAGAGAAAGAGAAACAAAGAGATGTATTCTTTCAGTACACATATTCTATGTACTTGAAGTTATTGTACACAATTTCTCTAAAAGATTTGAACAAGGATAAGAACATGCACACAGCTTCTTCTAGTTAGAAATCAAACATAAATTGCTGTTAAAATTCAGAGGACCTTAAAAACTTATCAGAACTTTACAGTTTTGGTGTTTAAAACCTGAACATTTCATTTTAATATTGCTTTAGAATGTTATATGATTTTAGAATTATCTGTTATATATGTTCACGTGCACTTGTAACCTATCCAGAGCTTATAAATTTATACAGATTCTGTACATATGTACCCATTTCTATATTAAATTTATGATTGATAAATTAATAAGAACATACAGAAGCGTTGGGTGTTTGATATTGGCAGTAAATGTTGGCAATACACTTGTAATAGAATTCTGTCATTAACTTCCTACATTTCATTCATTTGTTCTTTGTAAAACATTTTTCAAATGTTTTAATCAGATTTATTTAGTTGAAATAAATATGGTTAAAACATACAAATTATTTTACTTAACCTTAATTAAAGTGACCTAACATTAAATAAAGTAGTAGACTTTATTTAATTTTAAATAAATTTTATTTAAATAATAAAGTTTATTAAATATTTCTGTCAGGTTTCCAAGTGATGAAATCCATTTAAAAAGAAAAGAACAAAGTCCATCTTCCAAGACAAATTATTTTATTTAGGAAAGCATCAAATTGGCAAAGTCCATAGTAATTCTGGATCTGACACAACCTGGAATTAACCCACAATATTAAAGTTAGAAACAACCCCCCAAAGTCACATTCTCCAATAGAAGTAATTCAACATTGCTTGATGTCATAAATCTCCACCTCAAGGGGCCCAAGCATGGACAGCTCATTTCCCACGGGAAGAAGAATCACCTAGCCAAAACACTCTATCTCCACTCCTCCCCCCTTAGGAATGTGGCAACCCCGAAACCCTTCCCCCCATGACTGCCAAAGCGAAAGTAAGAAAAAAATATATATTAAGCCTAACTAAAATGGCTACACATATGTCAATTTGGGGCTTGACAATTTCTTTGGGTTAATATTACATCACATTGCATTATTATACTACAGATATTCCAATAAGTGCAAAATACTTTCTAGAAAGAGAGAAAACATGAAAGAAGTCAAATGGATAATTTTTCAGATTTTCCTTTGTAGATCCCTTTGAGGTAGGCCACCAGGTCAGGAAACAAATGCCACAAAGATTACCAGAACTCTTATTATTTCTTCCTCATTCCCTTTCCATGCTAGGCAGGTTTTTACCTAACAACTGTTGAATACCTTTTTAAGGCTCTATATTTGTTTTACGTCATGTTGGCCAAAATCTTTCTCAGATTTTCATTTTTAAAAGTCTTTTTTGCATTTCACCTTTCACTTAATTTGTGAAGAGGATCAAAATCCAACTAACAGAATTTAGAAAAGCAACAAATGAAAAATAAACTAACAAAGCCACATCATTATATGAAAACTTATATTTATAACCATTTTCCTCAGATGTTCTTTAATCCGATAAAATTGTGATGACTAAAATTTCTAACAGTGAATTATCAAAATTGTTTTCTTCCAGAAATTGAAATAAGAACTATTTTAATGGTTTTAGACAGTCTAGTCTAACTATAGTTCCCAAAACTAAAATGTGTGTATAACAGTCACTAAATGAACTTTATATATTTATTAATAAGTGACTAAGTTATAATTATGGACAGATCTGTAGAGTATAGTTTTTCAAATAATTAGTAGAGAATCCAGTTTGTGTTGCTGATACGATAAATAGTTAATTTGAAAGTACATCTTTATATATAAATATAGCACTGCTGGACTATTTAACATTTATGTATGTTTTCCCTGTTTATTGAACAGTCCATTGCTGTAATATGCTTTTAAGTAAAAATGTAAGTCCTCCTACGTAGTATAAGTACATATGTCTATTTCTAAAGTTAATAAATCTATTAAATCTATTATTGATTACAACAACTTAAGAGCACAGTTTTAAAAATCACTCAGTCCCTTAATATTAGAATATTGAGTCAGCAGTCATGAAATGGCAAAATCTGCCCTTCACTGATAATTGTGCTAGCTACTATAAATGGAATAATCTTAATTAATCAATTAAATGTGTTTACTTCCTTTGATAAGATAATAAGGTCAGAAGACAATGTTAAATAGTTTTTTTAAAAATCAGAGGGAGTATAGAAATAATAATTGTTTATAAATTGAGCAGTTAAAAACCTAACAATGAATGACACTGGCCGATCCAATTAGCAGATGTGTAGGGAAGTCATTAACCTGCTGTCCTTTTTTTTCCCCCTCCTCTTTGGTTTTGTTTTTTTTGTTTTGTGGTAGTCTGACCCTTGGTTATCATTGCAGAACTATGGAGGTGCAATGAGACCCCCACTGAATGCTTTAGCTGGCCCTGGAATGCCAGGAATGAACATGTAAGTAATGTAAATTGCACTAACACAATTGCACTAACACACAATAAGGAAGTTGTCTTCAGTTGAAAGAAATGGCAGGGATGTAGGCGCATTTAAAATAAAGACACACAAATGTGTATCGATTAATTAGCAAACAGTAATAACAACATATCAGAATGCCAACAGGAATTTTTTCTTTAACTGGTGTAGTGGGCAGGATATTTTGAGCCTAAAGATTTCTTGAAATGATCTGGTGGCTTTATCATTTTGGCAACTCAACAAGCTTTCAGAAAATACTTGAAATAGCTCAGATGTAGGATGTTTTGCAACATGTCATATTTAAAACATTTTGAAATAAAACATTTTATCTGGCATATTTTAATGCTCAATACATTACAAGCTAACAAGTCTTTGTGGTAGGGTTTGTCATAGGGTTTTATTTTATCATCAGCAAGACATCAGATGAAGCTTTCAAATATGCTTTTAATATGTCAGACTATATTATTGCTTGGCTTGATTGTCCACCATATAAATGAAATACATTTTTCAGTCCCTTTGAGCTTTTAGATACCTATAAACTGAGAACATACTAATGTCTCAAGGTAGATGTGAGTCTTCTTTTCTACAATACTAAGAAATAAAAGATAAATATTTAGCCAAGTGTTAAAATTTAAGAAACATTTTTCAGAGATTTTCTTAAAATATATTAACTTTTGTTGAAAGTTGAATTACATAAAGCCAAATAGTAGAAGTATTTCAACCACATAGTATTCACAACTTTTCTATTTTTTGGTCCCTTTGAGTGAGTGTTGACTCCTGGTAAATGCCTGCAGGTTTTTTGGCAAGATTTAGGAAGTTGTTTGTCATGCCTGCTTCCTAAGGCTGAGAGAGAATGATGGGTCACCCAGCTAGTTTCATGCCTAAGGTGAAACTAGAACTTTCCCAGGTTCTAGCCTTGTTCCTTAGCTACCAGAACTGTTTCTTTCATAACAATGTGGTGGGAATTAATTTTCATTCAGGTGCAAGAACTGTAAATGATAGCAAAGTTTTCTTTTCATTTTGCAAATAAAGGATTTTATAGATAGTATGATGCATCCAGCAAGAAAATGAAACCTACATGGCATTATAAGTGAGATAAAATATTTTTTAGAGATTTTGTGTATAGTTATATAAAACTCTTAATTGATTTTTAAAAATATTTTTGTTTTTTGTTTTGTTTGTTAAATTATTTTGAATTTTTACACTGCTTTGGTCATGACTCTAAGTGGTATAGACTAGTATCTTTGAAACATGTTATTACACATTCAGTGTAATAAAATAGTCTCCTTGTAATCCATTGCTTATATTGATGACATCATAATTTAGCAGCAGTATGACAACACACCTTACTATCTCAAATATCTTATAAACAACTAGGCTTTCAGCAGTTTGGTAAATGTTAAGAGTGAGAGTGCAGATGTTAAATCTCAAAGTGGTGTTCCACAGAAGGATTTTACAAAGATGTTCACCTCCAAGTCCCCTGCCTTCTTACCTTAATGAAGAGTGTGCCTTCTCAACAAGCACTCTTGGCAGTCACATATTTGGTGTGCAGTATGTTACTATTTGAAGTAAGTAATTTTGTGGATAATGAGAGTCCAAGCTATGTAGGGCTTGAACTTTGATAGCTAGTATCTGGAGTTATACTTTGAAAGCAAACATCAACAATTCAGCTCTGGTTTTACATACCATATCATATATTTTCGGTTAATATGTGGGCAACTACTGTTCTACATTAACTGCAGTTTCTTGATGGTTTTTAAGTACAGTCCCATGTAAAATACATCACAGCAGTCCAACCACATGACAAGGGCACGTGACCTTGCCTTGTCTTATATTCCAGGAATACCTGAGCAAAAGTGTAAGGCTAAACCTTCTGTCTGCTATTTCAGCAGAAGCTGAAAATCCAAGAAAACCCCATTATTACATACCAGCTGTTTCTGGGGAGTATCGATTACAGAGAGCTAAAGATGATGGCCTCCAAACCAGCAGTTATTCAGTCTTACTAGAATTAAATCTGAATCTGTTCTTTTTTTTAACCATCTAAATCCTTAGAGCCTCAAGTCTTCTACCAGATCATATGGTTGTCAGAGCTGGATGTCAACAGTGTATTGATAATATTTTAGCCCAAATGGTCAAGTAGAGAAGAATCAAACCCTGTAACACCATTTAACAGACTGTCCTAGGTTTGGCAACTTCCCCTATGTATGACAGGAACTACCAGTTCTCTTAAGGAGTGGAATCACTGTTGAACGTTGTCCCCAATTCCTAATACTTGCTAGTAGCCCCAAAATATGGCAGGGTTGATGATATTGAAGGTCCTCAGCAAATCCATCAAGACTAATATTATCATGCTCTTCCCATCCATATCTTGATGTAAAAACAAGCAATGTAATTCTTACCTATTACCCAAGCCTGAATCCTTACTGAAAAGGTAAGGTAGTACTTTCCCTAGAATCCTACGCAACTGCCATCCCACCACTTTTTCACATGAATGAAAGGCTGAAAATAGGTTGATGGTTATACAATATAGTTGGATATAAAGCAATGAACAAGTACAATATTTTTGACTCATCAGTTTAATTGGATTCTCTATATCTAGTTTTAGGAAGTATGGACAACAGATTGTGTTTTAATTGATATTTAAGTAGAAATATTGAACATTTAAAAGGGTTCACAAATTTGTAAGCACAGTTCTAGTTCAAAGGTATAAAAATAAGATAAGAACACTGTAATTAAAATAATATGTGGTGTACATTTTGTGGATTTATAAAGAACATACAACTTAGATTTGGTCAAGAAAGATATGATAAGAGAAATACTGGCTGGATTGGTTATTTTAGAAATACCTTAGACCAGTGATGGCAAACCTTTTTGTCGTGGTGTGCCAAAAGCGTGCATGTTTTGGGCCCATTTTGGCCTCCAAAGGCTGCAGAGGCTTCCCTTGAGCCCCAGGGAGGGTGAAAATGGCTTCCCCTGGGCTCCAGAGGCCCTCCAGAAGCTTGAAAATGGGGACTTCCGGTATTTCATGAAGACCTGTTTTTTGGCCTTCCGAGGCCTTGAGCCTCCAGGAGGACGAAAAAGGCCTCAAACTGGCCAAAAATCAGCTGGGAGGTGCATGCATACAAAGTGCAGGTAAGTTTGGCTGGGGCTCACATGCCCCCACAAATGGCTCTACGTGCCACCTGTGGCACACATGCCGTAGGTTTGCCATCATGGCTTTAGACTCATATTTACTTCTTGTCAGAATATTATATAAAATATTTCCATACAATATTTCTAAGCATGTCTGTTGATTACAGTTACAAGACTATTCTGAATAAAGTTCTTATTTTAAATTATAAATGCAATAGTGAAATCAGTATCAACTGTACTTACTACTACTTCGTTTTCTTCAGTAATTGCCTTTTTTCAGTAACAATCTAATGAACTTTATTTATGCTTATTAAATAGTTTATAGTTAAATAAGCTTTATTGCTTATTTAAACTGAAATTTGATCTTTATTTTAGGGGTCCAGGAGGTGGTAGACCTTGGCCAAACCCTACAAATGCCAATTCTGTGAGTAAACATATGAAGTATTGTACTGTTAAAAAGAAGTGAAAGTAAATTAATCAAAACATGCTTGTTTTTTTCACATAGTAACTGTCTGGTTAATGGTAATGTTAGTTTTTATAAACTCAAAAGGTCTTTTTAGAGGTTGCACTTGGCGTAGATAAAGATTACTCTTATTTCAGAGGTTTTTGAATAATGTGGTAATTTAATTATTTGTGTACCTGATTGTGTACCTACAGTAAAATAGTAATAATTGCACAGTCAGTTCAAATTTATGGTTTTGTTTATAATTGACTTTTTAAAATTAATTCTATGAAATTCTATATGTAAAGTTAGGGTAAAACTAATTGTAAAAAATGTTCTTTCTACAGGTAGCCCTCGGTTAACAATGGCAATTGGGACCAGAATTTCTTTTTCAAAGCAACACATCTCTAAAGTATGACAGTATGTGACTGCATTGCTTAGTGACGGCAGTCCCCATTGCCATCATTAACTGAATCCCACAAGTAATTAGGCAAGGACCCACCCCGATCCAAACCATTCCCTGCTTGAACCCTCCCAGCCCCAAGCCTCAGTAAGGTAAGGGACTGTCTCCTCTGCCTCCTGTTGAACTCGCCCCCCCATACCTGCCTATCTCTGCTCCGTCTGTACCCTTTGGCCATCTGCTTAACTGTTACCAGCAGCTACACTCACCACCCAGCCCTGTGCACCTTTGTACTGGTTGAGTCCTCCTTTTGCAGTGTCTTCTTTCATGCTGGTGCAGCCAGAGCTTCTCTTCTCAGTCCCAGCTGTAGCAGTGCAAAAGAAGGACCCAGCTTGAAGACACTGGACAGGACATTAATGGAGGCCCTGATTAGTGTGTGAATAGAGACCCTGAGTAGGCATACGAGAAGTCCCAGATGCAGCAAAAAAGGCAGGATAAAATGACCAATTCAGTATTGGCACCCAGCAGGTAGGCAAGTAGCCTAAAGTCAGTTATAAATGTGGATGAGCCTTAGTGGGCCCAAACGTTGTTCACCTAACCATAGGGATGTTTAGGGGACTGGCCATAAATCCCTTTATTCAATGATGTTATAACTTTAATAGTTGGCTGAACAAATGGACTTTAAGTGAGGACTACCTGTTATTCCATATGACTGATTTTGCTTTGATAGTACCATTCCCTTTCTTAATACAATTAATTGAAAAAATGGGAATCTCTTTTCTGTAAAAACTAACTTTAAAATAATAAAATAATATTTATAAAAACCTTCGTTATTCTATATGAACTGAAAAGAATAGCCTGTTTTTGTTGTCTTACTCTCTTTTAGATACCGTACTCTTCTGCTTCACCTGGGAATTATGTAGTGAGTATGTGTGTGTGTGTACATTTATGTGTGCAGTGCTCCTCAGTGTGCATTCATCATTCTGTTCAGTTTAAAATATAGATGTTCAATTGCTGAGAAAAAAGCACAAAAACATCAGTTGTGTCTGCCATGTATTCCTAATACAGTGGAATCTCAGTACTTGAATGCTTAAAACTCATCGAATTTGATGCAAACATTTTGCCTTGGTACTTGATGCACAAACTAGAACTTGCTGATTTCTGTTGCCTCATGACTAATACATTATTCCTTATGGGAAAATTTTGTTTGGTATTAATTGCACCTCCCAGAACCAATTACTGTATTTTTCGGACTATAAGACCACAAGATGCACCTAGGTTTAGAGAAGAAAAACTAGGGAAAAATAGGTTTTGGCCTCCGCTGTCCTGTTTTTGGCCTCCCTGGCCCCCAACTGCAGGCCAAAAACAGGCCCATTTTTGGCCTCTGGAGGCCTCTGTGGGTCCTGTTTTCTCTGGATCCTGTTTCCTTTCCAGGCCCATTTTTGGCCTGCAGAGTGTTTCTGGGGGCCAGGGAGGGCAAAAATGGGACACGCAGAGGGTTCAGGAGGCCCATATTCACTCTATAAGACGCACAAACATTTCCACCCACTTTTTTGGTGAAAAAAGTGCATCTTATAGTCTGAAAAATATGGTAATAATGAGTACCGAGTTACTACTGTATGTTTATAGTTGATTATTATGAGCAGAACAGTTAATTAGATGGAGAACTATTACAAATGGGAAAAAAGATGTTGGTTTCTTAGTCTACCACACTCAAAAATATTTAATTTTCTTGCCATGTTGAAAATTTAAATAATTGTGAGAAAGGTTACACTAATTTTTAATATTTGTTACAAAAACAAATATGTGTAATATTTGGTTACAAAAACTAAAATTGCTATGTGCTGAACAGGAAAAAAACAAGTTCAAAAATGTAGGTACAGTTAATAAAAGATGAAAAAAGAACAACATAAATAGAAGATTAGAGCAGGTTCAAAATTGGAGCAGGATAATAAAGAGAGATGTTGGTAAACTTCTTTTGAAAGAATTTTGTTAAGATTTTTTGGAAGATCAGAGCTAATGAGAGAGAAAAGTACCCATGAGCTGAAGCCTCAAGTCTTTCCCATCAGAATGTGCTTTATTTATTTCTCTATCCAGTCATCCATCCAACCCTTGCTTATCCAAGCCAGTTTTGCAACTTTCATTAATTGTGTAAGTTGAAAAGTTTTCCCATGAAGAAAACACTACACAGGTCAGATTAAGGAACAACTATGAATTTGAGATGATCTGGTGGTAAAATATACACTGCTCAAAAAAATAAAGGGAACACAAAAATAAGACATCCTAGATCTGAATGAATGAAATATTCTTATTAAATACTTTGTTCATTACAAAGTTGAATGTCCTGACAACAAAATCACACAAAAATTATCAGTGGAAATCAAATTTAGCACTCCATGGACGTCTGGATTTGGAGTTACACTCAAAATTAAAGTGGAAAAAAACACTATAGGCTGATCCAACTTTAATGTAATGTCCTTAAAACAGCTCAAAATGAGGCTTAGTAGCGTATGTGGCCTCCACGTGCCTGTATGACCTCCCTACAATGCCTGGGCATGCTCCTGATGAGGTGGCTGATGGTCTCCTGAGGGATCTCCTCCCACACCTGGACTAAAGCATCCCTGAACTCCTGGATAGTCTGTGGTGCAACGTGGCGTTGTTGTATGGAGTGAGACATGATGTCCCAGATGTGCTCAATTGGATACAGGTCTGGGGAACGGGCAGGCCAGTCCATAGCATCAATGCCTTCATCTTGCAGGAACTGCTGACACACTCCAGCCACATGAGGTCTAGCATTGTCTTGCATTAGGAGGAACCCAGGGCCAACCACACCAGCATATGGTCTCACAAGGGTTCTGAGGATCTTGTCTCGGTACCTAATGGCAGTCAGGCTACCTCTGGTGAGCACATGAGGGCTGTATGGCCCCCTAAAGAAATGCCACCCCACACCATTACTGACCCATTGCCAAACCAATCATGCTGGAGGATGTTGCAGGCAGCAGAACGTTCTCCACGGCGTCTCCAGACCCTGTCACGTCTGTCACATGTGCTCAGTGTGAACCTGCTTTCATCTGTGAAGAGCACAGGGCACCAGTGGCGAATTTGCCAATCTTGGTGTTCTCTGGCAAATGCCAAACATCTTGCACGGTATTTGGCTGTAAGCACAACCCCCACCTGTGGACATCGGGTCCTCATACCACTCTCATGGAGTCTGTTTCTGACCGTTTGAGCAGCCACATGCACATTTGTGGCCTGCTGGAGGTCATTTTGCGGGGCTCTGGCAGTGCTCCTCCTGTCCCTCCTTGCACAAAGGCGGAGGTAGCGGTCCTGATGCTGAGTGGTTGCCCTCCTACAGCCTCCTCCAACGTCTCCTGATGTACTGGCCTGTTTCTTGGTAGCGCCTCCATGCTCTGGACACTACGCTGACAGACACAGCAAACCTTCTTGCCACAGCTCGCATTGATGTGCCATCCGGGATGAGCTGCACTACCTGAGCCACTTGTGTGGGTTGTAGACTCCATCTCATGCTACCACTAGAGTGAAAGCACTGCCAGCATTCAAAAGTGACCAAACCATCAGCCAGAAAGCATAGGAACTGAGAAGTGGTCTGTGGTCACCACTTGCAGAACCACTCCTTTATTGGGGATGTCTTGCTAACTGCCTATGCTTTCCACCTGTTGTCTATTCTATTTGCACAACAGCATGTGAAATTGATTGTCAATCAGTGTTGCTACCTAAGTGGACAGTTTGATTTCACAGAAGTGTGACTGACTTGGAGTTACATTGTGTTGTTTAAGTGTTCCCTTTATTTTTTTTGAGCAGTGTACATTAGCTGAATAATTGTATTTTTCTGGGCTATTTAGATTTTCTTGCTGGAAAAAGCAAATCTCTGAGCAATATTGTACACCTACAATTTACCATTTGGAAAATGAAATGATAAATAATAGATATATAAGAAAAGTATTGTTTATTCAAATCTTTTAATTATGTTGCCTATACAACGTGTCAATTCCACATGAATCAGCACGTTACTGATTTGCCTTTCCTTTTTTAAGGGTCCACCGGGAGGTGGAGGGCCACCTGGAACACCCATCATGCCTAGTCCAGCAGGTAGTTAACTTTAATGGGGGAATGGATACAGCAATAATTTAACGTTTGCTTAACTTTTCAATAGCTATTGTCAGAATTCTCAACCACTGTATACTCTTAGTAAATTCTAGATATCCTTAGTTTACATGAATAGAACACACAATATTATTTATATATCAGCCATACTCTCAATCCGGAAGAGAATTCCTTAATTTTCCCAGCAATGACACAAATTGTTATGGCTTCCTGTATCAGTTAGTTAAAGTAATTTAAAAGCTTAAATATAAGTGAATACACTGAGACTTTACCAACAAACTTTAAAAACTCATCCTATATTCTTATTGTTGCTCTGCACCCTTTTGTATTTCATAAATAAAATGCATACATGTTATTACAATCTAAGAAGGACCTCTCTGCCATTAATCCAACAAATTCTCTTACTTAAAGGTATATAGGTAGTTCTCAACTTACGACTACAATTGAGCTCAAAATTTCTGTTGTTAAGCAAGTTTTGCCCCATTTTATGACTTTTCTTGCCACAGTTGTTAAGTGAATCACTGCAATTGATAAGTTAGTAACACAGTTGTTAAGTGAATCTGGATTCCCCATTGACTTTGCTTGTCAAAGGTGATCACATGACCTTGGGACACAGCAACAGTCATAAATACGAACCAGTTGCCAATCATCTGAATTTTGATCAGATGATTATGGGGATGCTGCAAAGGTTGTAACTGTGAAAATCAGTCATGTCACATTTTTCAGTGCCATTGTAACTTTGAATGGTCACTAAATGAACTGTTATGAATTGAGGACTACCTGAACTTCATGGCCATTTTGAAAGTTAAAATCTTACCTCATAATGTCACTGTTCTTTCTCTAAGCAAAATAAAGTACTTAATCATGACTCAGGAAAACATCTGTGCTCTTTTACTCAGTGACCTAGATTCTAATCTATAGTTATTACTTTGCAATAAATGTCTGTTATTGATGGCTGTAGATCTTGTGAAGTGTTTTATAGAACATTAATAGACAGTTGAAAAGCACGACTGGAATGTCTTTTGTTAAAGATAAAAGTTAATTATTTTCACTGATTTCATTGAAAGTACTTGGCATTTTTATTTTCAGATTCAACCAACTCTGGAGATAACATGTACACTTTAATGAATGCAGTACCTCCTGGAGCCAACAGACCTAATGTAAATAACAGGAATAAATACATACATTTGAATTTATACATGACTCCCCAAATCCAAAATTGTAATAATTGTATGTTCTAATCTATCTATCTATCTATCTATCTATCTATCTATCTATCTATCTATCTATCTATCTAT